CACTGGGTGCATGGCTAATTGGTCTAGAAGTCGAACACATTGATGATCGCAACATGTGCTGTTGAACTCTACATAATATGTTTTGCTTTTCTAGTCTTGTTGCTTGTTTTCTTCAAGGATTCAACATGGCTAAAAGAAGAACTCGATCAATGGTCAATCATATGTTCAAGTGCAACATTGGGGTTAGCTCGGCTATGGAAGCAGAAGCATGGGGAATCCTTAAAGGTTTGGAGCTAACCTGGGATCATAGGGTTAGAAAATCGAATAATTAGCGTCCAAAGTTTGAACTTTGGACGCCTAAAGTATAGTGCGGTGGCATTTTTGTAATTAAAATGTCACTATATAATTTGTTTTTTATTTTTTTTTAAATTAAAAAGAATAGGCGTCCAAAACTATAGAACTTTGGACGCTTATTGTCGCGCGTTATATTTTTAAAAATAATCAGCATCCAAAGTTCTATCACTTTGGACGCGCTCATGCTTTAAAAAGAAAATTAAATTAAATATTTACGCTTCTTCTTCTTCTTCTTCTTGTTCAATACACTCTTCTTCTTCAATACATCTTCTCGCACGCCACACCGCCGCCCCACACCATCTCGCACACTACATCGCCGCCTCACCGCCGTCACCCCCTCAATTGTCTTTGCCAGTCACCGCAGCAGTCGAGCTGTCGCATTGCCGCAACAGCTCGCTGTCGTGTCGCGTCGTCGCTCGCCGCAACAGCTCGCTCGCCGAAAGTTGCCGCCGCAGGTTGCTCGCCAGATAGGCGGTGATATATATTTATTTTGTTTTTAAATCTTTTTTTTATATATATTTTGAATTATATTTTACATATTTTGGTAGAGTTGATTGCTTGGTGTAATTGATTTTACGTTATATTGCAGCAGGTTGAGGGCGTCAAACTTGATCCTTGTGCATATTTATTTCTAATTTCGATTTTGAATTTCACCTTTGGATGTGCTAGGGTTTGTAGAGTTACAGGCTTGATAGTCAATTTTGTATGATATATTTGTGCTCTTAAATCCTGATGCTTTAGTGAGTTTTAAGTTAAAAAATTGAAGATTTTTTATCTTACCTAATTTTTCCTTGTGTATCTTATCTAAGGGAAAATGTTTAGGACAGATCAAAGAGCCAGAAATTTTGAATCAATTTATGTGATTTCACTCTATTAGTTGTAATTCAATCTGGAAATCCACTCCCAAAGGGAAGAACTTGTTTGGGCCTAAGTCCATTGTGTTTCAAGAATGGAATTGGGGAAATTATTCCTTTGATTTTAACTGGCTACTGAATTACTAAATTAAACAATCCTAATCTTTAGTAAATAAAACACTTGTATGTCAGCCTTGCATTATTGTCTATGTTTCATCACCCTTACATATGAAGGACTCAAACAAAACCGCACTAGGATGACTTCATGTGTGGTTTGAACCCCTAACCATTTGCTCAAGGTACAAGCCCTCAGTTTTTATTTTTAAATTTTTTATAAAAAAAAGGGCTATGTTATCTACATCCAGACTCCAGAGTTTAATGGTGTATCTTGCAGGGTATTTTTGCAGAGTACCTTGTTGAAGAAAAAGAGGTGTTCCTTCAGACCTACTCAACTAAAAGGCATTACATTAAGTAAGTCCTATAGTAACTTAAGACAAAAGAAAGAAGAGTTCACTTGAACATTTTTGGCTAGGAAATATATATCTTTTGGTCGAGAAGTGTTCTAATTTCCATTTTTGGCTGCAGGTTGATTATGGTTGCAGAAAGCGAGCATAGTATTTTTAAAAAATAAAATAAAAACTTTACGCGTCAAAAGTTCTTGAACTTTGGACGCGTAAAGATGTTAATTTTTAATAAAAATACCTTTGCGCGTCCAAAGTTCAAGAACTTTGGACGCGCAAACGTATTATTATTTTTTTAAAAAACTATAATTCGCGTCCAAAGTTCTTCAACTTTGGACACGAATTATCATTTTTCGCGTCCAAAGTAACTTTGGAGGCTAATTGTATATACAATTAGAGTCTCCTACATCCGCGTCCAAGCAACTTTGGACGCCTTTTAGCCTTAACTTTGGACGTGAATGACTGTTTTTGTACTAGTGGCGGTGGTGATTGAGAGTGATGCCAAAAAGGTGGTGGATTGGATTGCAAGAAGAGATGCACGAATCTCATTCCTCTGCTCAGCTATTCATTCGACTGAGGGTAATATATGTGAAATGGCAGCTTTACCCTCAAACTTATGCTCATTTGACAACAAACTTAACGGAGGACCACCGGTGGTTATTTTTGAAAAGATGGAGGATGTCTCACGTCGTTTAAAAGTCGGATGACCACAGCTGGTATATGGCTAATACTCGGATGACCATTGTAGCTCGCCGGGCTAAAGACGTAAAACGTATCGCTTCTTAGGAGGCAACTCAAGGAAATTAAATTTAGTTTCTTTTTAATTCTTTCATTTGGTATTTTTTCTTGAACTAACATTGTAGGGAAAGTCACTAATGAGCTCAAAATGTTCAAAGCGGGAGGCAAATTCCAAGGAAGAACCGGGCGTGAAAAATTCAAAATTGGTTCGGGGACGAATTTACATGACTGTCACGCACGTGATGAATCGCATAAATCGGAGCGCGAATGAAAATTTCGCGTACTTGGTACGGCCGGGCATTCGCCGACTAGTTCAAAGGCGTACAGAACACTGTTTCAGCAGTTTGGTTTAATTCTTCATCTTCTTCACTCAAAAAACACCCCCAACTTCATTCCAAAGCTTGTGAACGACCAAGGTATACCCGTACATCGTTAGTACACCATTCCAACATCAATCATCAAGGTTTTAACACTTCAAATTCATCACCGAAGGTATGAAATTCTTAATCTCTTTCAATTTGGGGATTTTTGCTCAACATCAAGGTTTATCAATTTGTGCTTGATTTTCATGAAATTGATCATTTTATTCCATGTATTTGTGCTTTATAATGCTATTGCTACATAGAAGATGAATTGCATGGAACATCCTTGTTTCAAATCTTGATGATTCTAGATTGCATACTAGGTGTTTGATGAATGCTTGAATGAGAATTTGAAGAACTTTGTGCCTTGATGCCATGAGTTCTTTGATTAAGCTTTGTTGGGTTTTAATTGATGTTCATTAATCATTTGTTGTTAGTCATGGTTTGTCAATTAAGATGTTAACTTGTTTTAATGAATGTAGAATTCTTGAATGAATTGATCATACTTGTGAATAATTCTTTGTTCATACTTACTTGAAGATTGAAGATGTAAATTGAATTGATCTTGTGAATGAAGAATGTGTGATTAATATGTCTATCATTTTGACATTTCTTTGTTCATATAGATTTGAAATTGTATTTGTTTGAAATGCAAGTTGTTCATGAATGCAAAAGCTTGTGTATAGGGGACGACGGTCCACGGGGGAATAAGGTTGGACTTGGTGTATAGGGGTCCTGGAGGTAAAGGTTTGAACTAGACATAAGGTTGGGGTAGCCATAAGGTTGGAACCAGGCATAAGGATGGCATATCAATTCGTGATGGGTGATGTCACGAAGTCTTGTGTAGCCGTTGCTGTGTGATTCTCTATTTGTGACGTGTGTAGTCACAAAAGCATGTGATGTCAAGGGTTGTGTCCTTATTCTCTTGTGTTATGCATGTCGGGTGTTAATCTACTGTGTGATGGTGGATTATGCCTTGAGCCATTCTTGAGTGTCGTTAGTGCTTCTTGTGGTCTTGGGATGTGTTCCCCGGTCTTTGTTGTGAGTGCTTAGAGTCTTGTGTTGATTTCTGCTCTTGGTTTTGAACTTATATATATATATATATATATATATATATATATATATATATATATATATATATATATATATTCCGTTTCGCAAATGATTTTGTATATATATATCCTATCTATGTATGATACTTAACAGGTATTGGTGGGTTACCAGCATTATTCGCTGACAGGGCGTCGTCCCATCTTTTATGTGTTTCTTTCAGGTGATGTGTAGACGAGAGCGCGGTCTAGAACCTGTTAGTTTAGATCCTTTGTTTTGAGATGTTGTGGCCTGTGTGCCAGTGTTAGACATTAGTACCCTGTCTACGAATGATTTAGATTGTGGTTTTATGCAGATATTTCGCCTGTGCGTTCACCTTTGGGTGAGCGTGGAATAGCACCCTTTATTTCCTGTTCATATAATCCATTTTTAGTCTTCCGTTGTGTATGATGTTTTGGCTAGTTATCTGCATGTTTAAGCTTTAATTTAGCATGGAAATTAGGGGGTGTTACAGTTGGTATCAGAGCCTAGGTTTGAGCCTAGGATGATAAAGTCTAGATTTCTAAGTGGCTAAGTGTGGTTTGAGACCTTAAAGTGACCTTAAGAATCTAAGTGTTAGGCTTAGGACTCTAGGTTGCGCGGTGAGCTGCGCGTTGTTTATAGCTGTTTGCTTGTTTGTTGTCTTGTTAATAACCGTTTTGTTGTTGTAGAAGCTTTGTGATGCCTCCTTGTCAACGTGCGCGTACCCTAGAGACCCCGACGAATGAGCAGCTTGCCCAGAACCTGCAGCAGTTGACGCAGACGATGCACACTCTTAGTGAGGCGTTGCTGAACAACAACCATCCCGTGCCACCTCCTCAGCCTGCCAGGCACAGGGACATGGGTCTTCTTGTGTCGAGTCACAGACCACCGACCTTCGCGGGTGAAGAAGACCCGGTTGTTTTGGAAAAATGGATGAGAGTGTTTGAGAAGATCTTCTAGGTTGTTGGTTGTCCCGAGGAGCCCGAGTTTGATTGGTCTGCGCTTAAAGATCGGATGCGCGAGAGGTTTTATCTAGCGCATGTGCGAGCCGCTATGTACGAGGAATTCCTCCATCTTCAGTAAGGATCTCTATCGGTGGTTGAGTACCACAAGAAGTTTCTTGAGCTTGCGCGTTTCGCCCGGATGCTGTGCCTACCGAGCTCGCTAAGGTTGAGAAATTTGTTGCTGGCTTGAACTATGAGGCACGAAAGGCCTTGACCATGAGTAGGCCGAGCTCTTTGAAGGATGCTTATGTGAGTGCCGCAGATCTGTATCGTGTTCAACAGCTTCAACGAGGGTCTTATGAGCTTGCTAGAAAGAGGACCGAGAGTGGAGGATCTTCCACCTACAAGAAGCCACGACCGAGTTTCCAAGCTAAGAATGCATCATCTCCAACCCAAGGACCCAACCGAATGGAGCAAGGAAATCAAGCCAAGGCGTTCCCTTGTCGTAGATGTGGGAAGGTGCATGCAGGCCAGGATTGCAATGGCTTCGCATTCCGATGTTTCCGTTGTGGGGATAAGGGTCACAAGACCACTGAGTGCCCTCAGCAAGCCAACCAAAGGGCGTTGCCGCCACCCCCAGGAGCCGGAGGAGCAGTAGGAGGTAGCTCGAGCCGTGGAGCAGCCGGGGCCAAGCCATCGGGGAGAGTCTTTGTGATGGGGCGATCACAAGCGGAGACCGAGGGCTTAGTGGAGGAGGAGCTAGCAGGTAATCCTTTTCTAGCATACCCTTGTCTTTAGAACACATCTTGTTCCTTGTTACCATTGCGTTTTGTCATATTTCTTCGTTGCCTACTTGAGTTGCCTTGTTATCCTTGTCATGTTTTTCCCTTGATAAATGATTCTTTTGGAGTTAAGTGTACGCTTTCCTTGATGAATGAATTCTCTTAGTTTTATGAGAGAGCCTCGTTGTACAGTTAATTGTTTATTCTTGAAATGAGTCATGCTTGGGTTAATTCCATAATCTTTGCACATGAACATTCTTGCAAACCCTTCCTTTGAGAACCACCTAAATTTCTCCAAGTATTCTTTGAGTTTGGGAATAGAAAATCCATAAAAATCCTTTCTTGTGTAGCCTAAAAGTCAAGTAAAATATTTATTTACAAACCTTGAGTTTCGAACCCGAGTATACCCTTTGCTAACCTAACCCTTTAACTACTTGAGTTAATCGTATTTCTTAAAACTTATTCAATTTTAATTCCATCTAAACCATAAATTCCAACTTTACCCAAATCCCCAAATTAAATCATCTTCTTTCCTAATTTTTCCCAAATCCCTAAATTCCCATATTTTCCTTCCTCCCTCCCCTCTCCTTACTCGTAGAGTTCAGCCGGACCACACCCCTCCCTCAACCCGTCGCCACCCCGTCGCCGCCGTGACCGAGCAGCCGCCGTCGATCACCGGAGCCGCTGCCGTGCCGGAAAGCCAAACAGCTAGAAGCGAAGAAACAGCGTGAGTGAAGAATAAGAAGAAGAGGAAAGATTTGGGTTTCATTTGTTGAGCTTTGGGTCATCTTTAATCATGCCTAGGAGGTCAAGTTTGGCAAGTAAAGTGGAGTGGGTGGATGCCCATTACCTCGTTCTTGAAGGTAAAGCTTTCGACCCGGAATCTTTTCCTAATTCTTTGTTGGATATGCTTAGATTTCAAGGGTTGTTAGATGGGTTCCTCGCCATAAGGGCCGAGACCTACCCAAGTTTGGTTAAGGAATTTTATCGTCACATGGTTGTGACAAAGGATGGTGGTAAGCTTGAAATCACCTCTAAAGTGAAAGGTGCGAAAGTGGTTCTGTCTGAAAAGAGGCTAGCTCAGCTTTTGAGTTTATCTACTTCGGGAGTTACTCATTACAGTGGTAACTCGTGGATTAGTACGGATACCAAGGGGTGCCAGGACTACTTGAGTTATTTGTTGGGTCGCACGAGTGGTTTCACTCAAGCTTCAAGACCGGAGAAAAAGTGGTTGTCCGCTGAGCAAAGAATCTTGGTTATGCTGGTGTCAGACTGTTTGTTGCCCAATAACTACAAAAGTGGGTTGTTGGGAAAGTTGGAGTGCAGCTTTGCTTTCTGCCTTAAGAACATGGTAAAGTTCAATCTACCGGCTTTGATGTTGCAACATATGGTCTTCTGTCGTGATCACAACCGTAAGAGCCTACCGTATGGATGGTGTTGAGCTGGATTTTTGTCAGGAAGGGTGTGAGTGTTGATGGTTGTATACTGAAGCCCGTAGGAAAGATGGTGTTGGATGCCATCATTCTTCGAAGTTGCAAATTGTTTCAATTGGACGATGGTGATTACATCACTCTCGAAGAAGTTGTAAGGAAATCCCCCGAAGAAAGAGCCGAGTTGGCAGTAGAGCTCGAGATTCATGCTGGAAAGTTGAACCTTGCAGTCTAGAGTTTGGGAGGTGATGAAGATGATGAGGGTGAAGCGGGCCATGAGGAAGAGGTGGAAGCACCTGAAGTTGCCGAGGTCGAGGAAAGTGATTCCGAAAGTGAAGAAAATCAAAGAAGAAGGGAAGCCCGCACCAAAAGGGAGCATGATTCCATGACACGTGAGGAGCGTGTAGTCACCTTGCTTCGTCAACAGAACCATATGATTGAAAAAGGCTTCGCGTACATGAAGACGCAGTTCGTTGCCATCTACCAGAGGCTAGATCAGATTGAGGCCAGCTCAAGTCGCAGAGGAGGTGATGACGAAGAGTCCGAGGAGAGCACCGATGGATCGAAGAGTGAGTCGTTCTAGCTTGGTGTTGTGGTAATCCCGTTCACCTTTCCTTAGTTGTTGTTATCTTCTTAGTTGTTGTTACCGTTTGTTAGTTGCTTGTTGCTTGCCTTGTGTGCTCGTTTTTGCTTGTTTGTTTAGCTGAGTAGTTAGTTTTGGTGGTTGGTGTTTTGGGGCTAGTTGTTTAGTTCTTGGTTCTTGGTTAGAAGTGGATGGTCGTGTTTGGTTTAGAGTTTGATATGCTCAATATCTTCGTTGGTTTAATTCTTTCAATCCTTGTTTCGATATACCTTCTTGCTTGCTTTGATGTCTTGTGAACCCTTTGGGGTTTGACCAAAAAGAGAATGTTCTTGACACTCTTGTCACATTGTTGTTCCTTTCCACCGTTTATTTTAATTCGTCGTACCCAAGCTTCGGGGACGAAGCTTCTTTGAAGGGGGAGAGGATGTGACACCCCGTAATCCAAATTCGATTAAGGGATTAATTAAGTAATTAATCCTAATTCAGTTGGTAATTTAATTCCTTAAATTCCTGAAAATTCAATAGTCGGGGACTAGTAATTGACTAGTCAACCCAAAGTTAATTGTTGTACCTAAAGCTTTGTGAGTAGTTCCCTTGTTTCCTTACACCACTTCATTTTAGTAAGGGTATTCATGACATTTCACCTTATGTTAGTAATGCAAGCTAACCTAGAAGACACTCCTCATTCTTTCCCCTTACACTTTCCAAACTTGAGCTCCTCCTTCTCTCTAAAAGTTAGATAGCTTTTCTTCCAAGCCAAGTTGGAGCTTTGCCAAATCTTCAAAGTTTGTCTCCAAGATTTTACCTTTCATACATTTGAGCATCTAGGAGGGTAAGATCTATGTTTATCTTGTGTTTTAGTGTTTTCTAAGGTGTCTTTCCTTAAAGATAGAATCTTTATGATCTTTTGGTGTGTTCTTGAAGTGGGTTTGGAAGGTGAACCTTATTAGGAGCTTGGTGAAGTGTTACGTGAAGGTTTTTGTCTACAAGAGGTAACCCATGCTCTACAAAATCTATTTTGCTTACCTATATGATGATTTCTTGGATTCTACATGTGATTTTGCTATGAAATGTGAGTGTTTATGCATTGTCGTGTGAAAATGCATATATAGAGCTTGTTATTAGGGTTCATGTATGCCATTGCTTGGCTATTCCTTTGATTCAAGTTATTTTGTTGTATTTGGTGAGATTTGGCATGTTTTGGACTTGAATTTGAGCTTGGTGTTGAAAATCCCCGAAGGGATTATTTTGGTACAGTTGTGTACCCGCGGGCGGAACGGCGGGTAGGGGTCCACCCGCCGCCCCACCCGCGGGGTACAAGGTTGTTTGGGTGTGGTACCCGCGGGCGGGGGTCTATCCGTGGGCCCACTGGCGGGGAACATGATGTGGTTGTTGGGGGATTTGTTCCCCGTGATTCTTTTGACTCGGTATTTGGTCTTTTGACTTCCCGATGTTCTTTTGTGGAACTATTTGAGCGTCTTCTTGATGTTTTGTATGTCTAGAACTATATGGTAGGGATCCATGTAGGTTTTGTTGTCTTGAATCGTGCTAAGTGTTGAACATTGTGTTTCGTTGAACCGTGATGAGTCTTGTGTGTTCTTCGGAACTACGTTTGGTTTACCCGTTTGATAAGTATGCTAGTTTGGTGTTTAAATGCTAGTGTGTTTGTTGTTTGTACCTTCCGATTCTTGATGATGACTTGTGTTAATCATCGTTGTTGTTGGACTGAGATCCATTCCTTGATTGAGTATGGTTTCATATCTTCGTTGTGATCCATTGATTGATTCCTGTTGAGGTGTGGTTTGCGTGGCTGTACCTGGATTGCACGATTAGTGGTATGGGACACTAGTCACCAAGGTACGGCAGTGGTCCTCGTGGTGGCCATGACGCGATTATGGAGTTTGTTACCTTTGTGTAAGGTTCACATATTTATTTATGGGATAACATGTGTTATCCGGGGCATGTGTTGCCATGTGTGTACGGTACCCTCTTGTACTATGAAATCGGTGGTTTTGTTGGAGATTGTTGGAGTAGGGACGACGGTCCTCGGGGGAATAAGGTTGGACTTGGTGTACAGGGGTCCTGGAGGTAAAGGTTGGAACTAGACATAAGGTTGGGGGTAGCCATAAGGTTGGAACCGGGCATAAGGATGGCATATCAATTCGTGATGGGTGATGTCACGAAGGCTTGTGTAGCCGTTGTTGTGTGATTCTCTATTTGTGACGTGTGTAGTCACAAAGGCATGTCATGCCAAGGGTTGTGTCCTTATTCTCTTGTGTTATGCATGTCGGGTGTTAATCTACTGTGTGATGGTGGATTACACCTTGAGCCGTTCTTGTGTGTCGTTATTGCTTCTTGTGGTCTTGGGATGTGTTCCCCAGTCTTTGTTGTGAGTTCTTAGAGTCTTGTGTTGACTTCTGCTCTTGGTTTTGAACTTATATATATATATATATATATATATATATATATATATATATATATATATATATATATATATATATATATATATATATATTCCGTTTCGCAAATGATTTTGTATATATATATCCTATCTATGTATGATACTTAACAGGTATTGGTGGGTTACCAGCATTATTCGCTGACCGAGGGTCGTCCCATCTTTTATGTGTTTCTTTCAGGTGATGTGTAGACGAGAGCGCGGTTTAGAACCTGTTAGTTTAGATCCTTTGTTTTGAGATGTTATGGCCTGTGTGCCAGTGTTAGACATTAATACCCTGTTTATGAATGATTTAGATTGTGGGTTTATGCAGATGTTTCGCCTGTGCGTTCACCTTTGGGTGAGCGTGGCATAGCACCCTTTATTTCGTGTTCATATAATCCCTTTTTAGTCTTCCGCTGTGTATGATTTTTTGGCTATTTATCTGCATGTTTAAGCTTTAATTTATCGTGGAAATTAGGGGGTGTTACAGTAGATGTCGTTGCGGCGGAGGTTTTGAGCATTGAAAACCATCCCACTCATGGGTCTGGCTTCAGTCCGGCTTA